TCGCACGACCGATCGCGCGACCGGTCGCCGGTGGGACGCGACCAGTCGCGCGACCGGTCGTGGACTATGAAAGATGCCATCGCTTTTTTGAGACGCTTCAGCGGTTCGGCGGGCGCCGGCTTAGTCACCTCAAACCAGCTGGCCGCTCAGCTGTTAGCAGTGGAAGGTCCCGTTCATGACGCCGTAGTCGTTCTCTTTCGGCACGCTATTCAAGCACTCTGTGAGCGTACAAACATCGCCATTTCCTTACACGCAGCACTGCGGACCAACCCTACGTTAACAATGCGCAGTCTCATTGGTCGGAAGGATATTTCGGCAGTTCATCTAGGTAACGGATACGTTCGAGTCGACGCTGTGTTCAAGTTCCGCCCTCCTCATTATCTTTCGTACCGTTCAATGACACCTGCTTTGAGTATCCTCGCATCAATATCTTGTTGCCCAGTGGTTCGGTTTGGCAGGCCTTTCTCAAACCATCTACGGGGGTCGTAGTTAACAAGGCATCAGTTATCGGTTGTGAGGAGGTCGCGCCAGTCGTGTTGTCAGCCAACGGTAGTTTAGTGCCATTCTCACCTGTAGAGGGTCAGTTCTCAGCTATCCCTTTGAATCAAGTTCACATTGTTCCCCCTTCCCCGCCTCTAGCCGTTCTTCCTCTTTCACCTAAGCTCACCATCTTTCACAACTTAGTCTTGACAAACCTAAGTGAGATCTTGGCGGATACTCAGTTTCAAGAGATGTGGACGGTTAGAGACCAGGAGAAACTAATCGATCATACCGCTCAAATATATCATTCATCTCCGACTTCAGTCACAGCCGTACCATCCGCATTGAGCAACATTCTACCATCTATACACTTCTTTGATCCTTCTCCTTTCCAAGTGTGGGTATGTATCCGTTGTGTTGTCGTTTCGTTCGGAATTTTCAAAGCTCTCATGCTTAGTTATATCGCTGTTAGTTTCCCGGGACTGATGCCCCTACTCAAGAAAACGTTGTCTCGCTGCTTCGCGACACCAGCTTCATCGTTGCATACAGTCCCACGCAATACACCGGTTCCGACAGAAGAGTTGCATGCTGTAGCTTTGTCCTCATTGAACCCTGAAAGTGTCGGCATTTCAAAGGTTGATATTGATGCCAGAAACGTCTGGCAACCCAACTTCTACCGTCCCGGTGCAAGTTCTCTCTCTGCACACTGAAAACAAATTCTTTGTTGCACGGATTCCGGTCCGAGTTAGCGGTCTGATCCTGGGTAACGATGTCCTTTGCCGCTTACCTCCTTGGTCTGTCGATTATGAGTACCGCCTGGTGCACATAGGACCAGGCAGCGTTCAGATTTTCGTGTGCTCGCCCTCTTTAGAATCTCCAAGGGAGACAGTGGTACGGGCCGTCGTCACCACTGTCCTATTTCCTGGAACAGAAACCACAGTACCGTGTTACGTAGCAGATGATTCTCAATCTTCCTCCTGCCTTTGGGCTTCGTCGAATGTCCTAGGAGAAGATAACTTATTTGTGGCCCCCACTGTTTTCGATAGTCAGTACCCGCACCTCCTCGTGACTAACCCATCTTCGTCAATACAGGTTGTCTTCAAGGACCAGCGTCTAGCCGGAGCCTTCCCTCTCTCAGAAGCGGATAACGGCACGTTGTCGGAACCCCTTTCGTTGTATTAGCACGCCTGTGCTCGCTACAGCGATAGATACAGGAGCCGATTGCTCCTACACGAGAAAACGTTCTTTTTGTGTAGAATTGCCTCACGCTGAAGTAAATGATGCGCAGAAGCGTCAATTACAAGATTTATTTGAAGAATTTAGCGATCGTATCTCAACTTCATCTTGTGACTTAGGTTCGTATGAATTATCTCCAATAGTGATCAATACGACTACTGAGATTCCTCCTACCAAGTATAGGCCTACTCGCATTCCGACTCGCTTCCAGAAGGAGTTAGATGAACATATCAACGAGCTCCTTCAATCTGGTCGAATAGTTGAAAGCGACACCCCTTGGGTGCATAATTCCGTTTTGGTCAAGAAGAAGGATGGTTCGCTGTGAGTCTGCTTGGATTTCCGTTCACTCAATGACATTACTATACCAGATCACTATCCCTTGCCTCGTATCGAAGATCTTCTTGAGAAAGTAGCAGGAAATCAATTCTACACCACCTTAGACCTGGCTTCTGGGTATATGCAACTGTTACCAAATCCCGCTAGGCAGGCAAATGTGGTTGGGCGACTCATCGAGGAGTCTACCAATTT